TGTTTTTTATATAAATTTATATATAAAAATTTATAAAAATTTTTATTTGGTTATTTTTTTAACTTTAAATCAAATTTGTGAAAGAAAATTATTAATTAATTATTATTAAAACTCAAATTTTTTAAATTAGGTTATAAATTATAATAAAAAATAAAAGGACAAAAAGTTTTGTTCCAAACTGTATATATAAATATAAATATTTTTTATTTTTTTTTAGTTTTATTTTATTTTTAATATCTATTATTTAATAATTAAAATATAAAACTTTATAATAGATAATATTAAATTATTAATAAATTTTTTCTTAAATTATTTTTTATTAATTAATAAAAATAAAATATAAGTTTACTTGTTTTTTTTTTATTTCAAAGATATATAATTAACAAAAACTTTATAAATCTTTAATACAATTTAATATAATTAATTAAATCAAATTGAGTTAATAGTAAAGATCAATAAATACTATACTATTTAAGAAGACTTTATTAATCAACAAGTCACCAAACTATTTGTATAGCATAATCATTAATAGAAAAAGTTGTGAGTCACTATATAAATTATAAAAATACATATAGATAATTTATATATTTATAATTGGATGTGTAACCAGTGGACAGGAGCTGATCGCCCTAAAAAGTAATGCCGATTATCTATATGCTGTTTAAAAATAACATCAAGGGCATGCATTTACGCATAATGCTTTGATATAATCGGAAAAATATATCCCTTCGCGGCACATCGGAAGTGCAACGCCAAGAATATATTAAATACACGTTTAAAATCTAACGTATCTTCAATGAAGAGGTGTACTTGTTTCAAACAAATCGAGTTAATTCCGTGTATCACGTTACCTCTTTTTTTTTGAGAATTTGATCATCTTTCGAAAACCTTATCTTCATGCACTGAAACTTTGAAATGCTTAGATTATAAAACATGTCTTTAAAACTTACCATGAAATATGGCATGTGTGCTATAGATTGTATAAGAATAACATTTCTTTTATCATATCTTATTTCATTTAAAATAATAGAGTGTTCACCAACTTCACCACGATATGCCCATACCGCGAACTTTATTGGTACGAATTTATATTTTCTTGGGGGGATTACTTCGGATTCTAAATCGAATTATTCCGATTTCTTCTGCATCGATACTTCGTCACCATTTGAACTTTCAACTTCTACCAATCAAACTTCTTCCTCAATACAGTTCACAGATCTTACAATCTTATTTAACATTTCAAATGATGCGTACTCAACATCTTGTGTTAATGATGCCACGATATTTGTGTATGGTGGGCAAATATTTGGGGCAGATAATAGTAATAATTCCGTACTTTCCATTAACATTGAATTCGGTCTATGGAAATTTTTAAAAATTTCCGGCCCATCGCCAGGCCAAAGAAAAGATTTGACGGGTGTTATTAATAACGGAGAAATTTATTTGTTTGGGGGGACTGATGAAAATCAGACGATTTGGTATGATGATATGGTGATATTGGATACCCTTCATTTTGCATGGAATAATGGAGTGAATGCAACGATAGTGTCGAACCCTAGAGCTGGTTATGCTGCAGTTCTGTTAAATGATGGAAGGGTAATTTATATTGGGGGCTTGAACGGTAAACAGAGTTTTGTGCCGATGGATCAAGTGAGAGCACATTTCTTTTGATTTGTCTTTTAAAGTTCAATGATCTAAGATATATCTCCTTTAAAATTAAATTTTGGAAATTTTAAATAACAATTTATAATTTATATACAGATATCAATATACAACACAGTAACGTCGACATGGAGCCTGATTGTAGGTTTATACCATTTCTCAAAGAATTCAAGAAAAGTTTCATGATAGATTCGATATTCTAAATGCCAAATATCCATAGGTCGCAGAAGGCAAAATTCCAAGTGTCCGTTCGCGACATACCGCGGTTTTAAGTAAAGTGTTATATCATATCTTGTTCAATCTATACTATACATTTTATATTTATTGATTATTCTTCGATCTCTAGCAAACGATAGCAGAATAATAATCTTCGGCGGTTCTCAAAATGATTCAATGCCAGCAACCCCATCTCTCGCGGTTCTGAGAAGCGACAATTTTACGTGGTTTCAATTAAATGATTCTGGCACTCTTCGGCCACCAAACTTGCAATCTCATACTTCTACGTTAGTCGGTGATGTAATGATCGTAGCATTTGGTAAGAACTAAAGTAGATTGTATAGTCATTAAATATAAAGATCGATCATTTTGATCATTTTTCTTGTTTTACTTGATTATTATAAGGAAACGTAACAAAGTCTCAATATCTCCCCGAAGGACCCACTTCAAATATATATCTCTTAAACACTACTGACTACACCTGGTTAACTCGATTCATACCACCCCCTTCGGATTATTTAGCTGATAACCCGGATTCATATCCTATTGATTTATCGCATACTAATGTGATATTGGTGATAATTGTTATAGCATCGATTTTGATATTCTTTTCGTTGTGCATAGCAATCTGTATAAGGATTTATAAGATGCAGAGAAGGAGGAGGGTAGTCGGAATTGACAGAAATGATTAAGGAATGCGAAGGGTTTTATGAACGAATAGTAGAAGGATGTTGGGAAATGTATTATAACTATCAACTGTAAATATCTCTTAACTTATATTCTGGTTAAGACAAAATTGTATGTATTTTTTTTTCTCGAGGCTATTTAGTTTTTGAAATTTCGTTAGAAAAAGAAAAAAATCGTGCATCACGGTAAGTGATCACATAAATAGTTATTTTAAAATCATTTTGCTTGTTTTTGTAAATTAATTTTAAAATCTGTAATTAATTAAAAATTTTTTATTTATAAATTTATTTTGTTTTTTTACTTATTGAATTTATATATTAAAATACAGCGGCTTAAAAGTTTGGGTCATTTATTATTGTTTTTATTATGAATTTCAATTTTACCAATTTTAAGTTCATGATTATATATTCAAAAATTATAAATTTATATCGAATACTAGTCAATATTTATTTTTATTTTTTTTTAGAATTTATTATTGTCAAAGAATTTTTTTTCTTTGCTAATTGTTATATTATTTATAGCAAATATCAATTAAAAATATTTTTAAAAACTTTTGATAATTTAAAATTTAAATTTATATATAGTATCATAAATTAAATTATTTTATATTAAAATTTGATTTAAAACTTGTTTCTTGCTTTGCATATTTTTTTCTTATCTCTTATAACTATAAAATCTAATATATTCTTTATTTTTCTATAAAATAAAACATAAATATACAATTTTATTAAATTATAAAATCAAAAATTTTTTTGTATTTATTAATTCAAACTTGAAAAATATGATTAAGTTCTTTTTTTATTATCTTTTTTTAAGCTAAGAATATATTCTTTTAAGTTAATTCTAACTTATCTTTAATATTTTTTTCATAAACTAAAATACTGATATATTTTTTTTAATTTATTTTTAATTAAAGATAGTATTGCTTTTAATTTTTTAATTTAAATTAAAAATTTTTTATTTGGATTTTAGGTTCATTAAAAAATATATCTTTGCGAATAATTTAAAATATTAAATTATTTAACTTTAAACTCACTTGCTTAATCTTTTTTATAAGCTGATAAACATATTTAAAGAGTTTTTCTTTATTTTTATTAAATTGTTTTAAAATATATTATACTGTATATACTTATTGTTTTTATTTAAGATAGATATTTATTAATAAATTAATTGTTATACTTTATAATAACATTTCAATCTTAATTTATATAAATAAGCTAGTTTTTAAGTTTTATTTAATTAAATAAATATTAAATAATATGTTTTGAAGTTTTTTATTTATATCTAATAATATATAAATTTTAAATATTTTATCTAATTTATATAATGATAAAAAATAAATTAAATAATAAAAAATACATAATTAACTTAATAATAAATAAAAAAAACTTTTTCTACCGATTCATATTTTTTCAAAAAAATTTCTTTTTTGATAATTTTTTTGGAAAACTTATAAAAACACTTTTAGTTAAGCAATAAAAATATAGCAAACTTCTAAAAGATAGAATAGAAAACATTTTTTAAAATCAACTTTAAAGAAAAAAGATACACTTCACTATAAGTCTTATATTTGATCTATAAAACTTTTAAGAAAAAAAAAAGCCATAAAAAGCTTGAATCACAATAAGACCATAGGACCCAACATTAATTCACCAAGCTTCTAACCAGGCCAGTGTAAAGTAAATATCTTTCTATATATCAGAAAGAATTTTACAAACAATAGTTACAATCAATAAACCAGTTACAACTCAAAGTTTACAAAAATTCAAGAAAATATTAGAAACTTAAAACAACAGTTAAAGGAATACTAGACATTAACAATAATATATAAACATAACACATTATATCACATAAACATGTATATGTTCTTCTTATTCAAAAAACTTGAAGAAAACAAAAATTAAATACAAAAATATCAGTTCATATATTTGATTAATAATATAACAGTAGATCAAAATAGTAATAATATATGAAGAAAAATAAAACAAATTAAATTGTAATTAATATGTTCAAATATAAATAACATAACAAATAAACAAATAAACAAGTAAACAATAATATATAAAGAAAAATAAAACAAATTTAGTTGTGATCTATATATCCAGATATAAATAGTACAACAAACAAATAAGTAAATAATAATATATAAAAAAAAACAAGAAAAGATAGAACTGATTATGATCAATGTGTTTAGATATAAACAGCACAACAAATAAACAAGTAAACAATAATATATCCTATTTTAAATAAAATAATATATTAATTAATTCACATCACATAATATCATGACAACCAAAAATTTTTAACTCTTTCCACTGATCCTCTGACCACACACAAAAAAGATGTTTGCAAGAAGTTTTTATATTTTTTTGTTAATAAAGTCTTAATACTTTCATTAAAACAACTTGAAATATGACTTCAAGAGTCGTCTTTATCCTTTCCCTTTTGTTTACAAACCTCTTTACTCAAAAACTTGACTTCTAGTGACCAAGAAAAGTCAAGTAACACCTTT